AGCTGGCCAGCCCGCCACCAGCTCCTTCAGTTCCTCAAAGGACCCTCGGCTGCCCTCCGCCAGCTTACTTCCTGTCCATCCTCCAGGTCCCAGCCCAAGCGTCCCTCCCTCCAGACGGCTCTCCCAGAGGATGAGCTCCCCGTCTCCTGGACCATGTTTATACTCAGATAAAAGTATTACCTATTAGCTTCTAAGTCAGTGGTTCTCAACCTTCTGGCCCTTTAAATACAGCTCCTCATGTTGTGACCCAACCATAAAATTATTTTCGTTGCTACTTCATAGCTGTAATATTGCTACTGTTATGAACCATAATGTAAATATCTGATATGCAGGATGGTCTTAGGCGACCCCTGTGAAAGGGTGTTTCAACCGCCAAAGGGGTCGCGACCCACAGGTTGAGAACTGCTGTTCTAAGTACTTGATTCACGTCTGTCCCCTCATGCTGTAAGAATAAGAACTAAGGACTAAACGGGTCATGTGACTCCCCAGGGCACCAAGCACACATTCCTACAGGGACACCACCTGGCAGGCCCAGCCCCCAGCCCCCACAACTCCCGTCATTGGGCCGGTACCTGGACAAACTCGAAGGTGACCCCCTGGCCAGCTGCCTGGCACCAGCCCCGCAGCTGTTCCTCGAACGCCTAGGAGACGGGAGACGAGCTGACCCCTTGGGCTCTCCTGAGCCTGTAGGACAGGGCTGAGGACCCGGCTCCCTCCTCCAAACCCGGTGGAGGTGGCACCTTCAGGTCCACATCCGGGGCCACGCGGAAGTCAAAGCTGGCACTCATGGTGGCCGGGACCACGTTATAGGCCATGCCGCCCTCCAGCTTCGTCAGGTTCACAGAGGTCACGGCGCCCAGCTTCAGGTGGGGGTTTGCCTGCAGCCTGCGGTGGGGACACGGATGAGAACCAGGCTCAGCCTCCCGTCCACACAGGCTCCTGCCCCGCCCGGCCTCCCAGCGCCTCACCTCTGCCTCTCCTTCTCCCGGAAAGCCAGCACGGAGCCCACGACCTTGTGCTGGGAGTGGAGGAGGGTAGATGTGAGAGGCCCCAGGACAGAGCCCCGGGACCTCCCCAATCCCACCCCTGGGCGCCACCCACCAGCTTCTCTGCGGCTGTGTCCTCGATGAACCTCGAGCCGTGGCCGGGCTTCCCGGTGCTCGTTACCCGCACCCCTGGGGGATGCAGGGGAAGGGGCGCCTTCAGCACTCAGCCGGGTGGGCCAGGCCTGCCCCTTGTTCCAAGCTCCCCTCCCGTCTCCTAGGCGTTCGGGACTGTCCCCCAGAACGCACAGTGCAGGGCTGCTTTCTGCCCTCAGATCAGGAAGAAGCCCAGGCCAGAGGGGCCGGGAGGCACAGGTCCTGGGCTCCAGGCCCGCTCAGGCCCCGCCCCTTCTGGCCTAGTCTCCCAACTGCACAGTGACACCCCCGCCTCCCCAAGCCACACTCACACCAGGGGCTGCGCTCGCTGTAGAAGACAGTGAAGGCGTCAGTGGGATTGGCCAGGCCTAAGGAGGGAGGAAAGGGGGTTCAGGGGGCAGGGTGGCCCAGCACCCCCTAGCAGCCTCCCTGTCCCCTCTGGCCACTCAGTGGCCTGCCATCTGCTCACCCTCATCCAGGGCAAAGCCAGCCCTCAGGGCCTTGAACTCAGGCCGCTGCACAAACAGCTCCATGCCTTTGTGACCCCCAATCTCCTCATCTGTAAAAGCGGCAGGGATGGGAGATGAGGGAGCCATTCCCCAACACACCCTCCCCCTCCCTGAAGGAGCCCTGCCCTGCCACGCCCACCTGGCACAAAGGTCAGGTGGATGGTTCTGGGGAAATGGTGGCCCTCAGCCTTCAGCCTCCTCACAGCCTCCAGGTACCTGAGGGGCGGAAAGAGGGTGGGAGCCCGGTGCCGGTGGCCCGGGGGGCCGGCTGGAGACCCAGGCCCTTGGCCCTGCTCGCCACAGCCCGTCCCTGCCCGTCTCCCTGTCCATGCAATGGTTACAGCAGCAATTCCTGCCCAACGCCAGGGGCCAAGATGTTCCTCAGCCCTGAGGTTCTCCAATCCCACCCCAGGTTCCGGGACACTCCAGGGGACAGAGGGGACAGCGGGGACCCGGAATGAGGACACTCACTGGATGCCGACGCACTTCATGTCCTGGGCACCCCTGGCATAGATGTAGCCGTCAGCGTCCTTGAAGGCCTCAAAGGGGTCATGACTCCAGTATTCCTGGGGCAGGGATGGGAAGAGGCCCCAAGGCCCAAGTTCAGTCATTAATCCACTGTGCCCGCTGTGGGCCTGCCCTCAGAGCCCACCGCAAGGGTAACAGGTGGGGTGGCAAAGGTGATAGAAGAGGGCTGACGAGGGCAGCAGACTGCCCCCCCCAGCTCTGCGACCCACCTCCACCCCCACCCTGTGTGTGTATGGAACAGTTGCCAGACAAAGGCTGCTCAAGTGGCATGATGCCCAATGAGGTCAGAGTCGGTGCCAGGACCAGTACCGGGGCTTCCTGCTCATCTGACTTCCCGTCCTCCCCCACTCACCTTGGAGACCGGCACCACATCCGTGTGGGAGTTGAGCAAAAGGGAGGAGAGTTTGGGGTCGGTGCCTGGCCAGGTCAGCACGGTCACCACACGGCCGGGTGCCACCTGGGGAGGACCAGGAGGGAAGTTCAGTGCAGGGCGAGGTGCCCAGGCCCACGTCCGCTCCCCACACAGGGCCCAGGCTCACCTCCACTTTCTGACAGCCCAGGCCCAGCTGGCGGGCTCTCTCCTCAAGGAAGGCCACGGCAGCCCCTGCGGACACAGAGTCTTAGGGCTGCTCTGCTTCCCAGGCTCTCCCCTGACCCCCGGCCCAGGCAGGGCTGGGAGGCACATCCAGAGAGGAGCAGACCCCAAATGCGCTGCTGCCTCCCCAACACATTCCACGTCTGAGACACCCGCATCTAGAGACACCTGCGTCTCAGAGACACCTGCATCTAGAGACACCCGCGTCTCAGAGACACCCGCATCTAGAGACACCCACGTCTCAGAGACACCCGCATCTAGAGACATCTGCATCTCAGAGACACCTGCATCTCAGAGACACCTGCATCTAGAGACACCCGAATCTAGAGACACCTGCATCTCAGAGACACCTGCGTCTCAGAGACACCCGCATCTAGAGACACCCGCGTCTCAGAGACACCTGCATCTAGAGACACCGCATCTAGAGACACCTGCATTTCTGCCCCCAGGAGGAAGTTGTTTTCGGCCAATCAGTGACCCTTTGTGGACGGTCAGGTGGGAAGTTAGTGTCTTCCTTAAAGATGGGGACGCTATGTGCAGGGACACGAGAGTCACCCAGCATCTCCCAGGTGG